GAAGGTGTTGCGGGCCGGACCCTCCGCCGCTCCAGCTGTCGCCATGCAGCTCCGCTTCTCCGTCCCCAACGAGGCGCTCTCGCTGCCGCCGCCGCCGCTGCTCACCTTCCCCTCCGTGTGGATGGCGGGCATCTTCTGGATCAGCACCTTGCTGCACAACGGCGTCAACCGCAGGCCCGCCCTGCGCGCCGGTCAGTCGACGGGCCCTTCCGCGTGGTCTCCCGTCCCTCCGCTCTTGGGGGGGGTCCCCGGGCTGCCCATCGAGGCCCCGTCCGGCCCTTCCGCGGACAGGGTCCCCGTCGCTGCTAACCAGCACGCAGAGCTCAAGGAAGCGGGGAGCCGGAAGGGAAGAGTTGCATGCCCATAATCCACAGCCGAGGAGGAGCCAAGAGAAGCCCCATCCGGAGTCAGGGTCGGGAGGATCCCGGTCTGACCTCCGGGGGGGGGGGGACGATCCTCCCGAGTGCTCCCTTCCTGGTGGACCCAAATGGAGAATTTGATTAATGTATTAGGTGGTCCTCTTGCCTCCCTCTTTGGGGGTCAAGGGGCAATTAATGCCTTCATATCTTTCTCCCCCCCACACACACACACAACAGCCCTGCGAAGTAGGACAATCTGTGAGAGAGGGGGGCCAAGGTCACACCAAACGACCTCTATTAGTCTCTTAGCCCAAGCCCTATCCGAGAATAATAACAACAAAACAACTATTATTATTATTATTATTATTATTATTATTATTATTATTATTATTATTATTATTATAGGAAACTCGTGGAAGTCTGGCCTTCAGCCATCAATAGACACAGAGAGATAAACCACATATACCCACCACTCAAAAGAGACAATTATAAAACATTAGAACGAAGAAGACGAGAAGACATTCTCTCCAGCATCCCCCAATCAAATAAATGGGGATTATCATCAGAAAAAAAAAATACCCACTGCAATTAAGGAACCACCAAGGAATAAACTACATTCCCCCCCCCCCCAACACCAACGGGGCAAAATACTATATATAAGGCAGCCACTCATAGTCATTACAACTGATAATATCAGTTGAGTAATGAATGTCTGCAAGCAAACATCCAAGCTCAGGGACAACCAAGGACTTTGCTGTCGTTCTCTTTTTAAAATGACGATTGCTTGCAAAGAGGGTCTGGCATGGGAACTGAATACCAGACAAGCCACAGCAGCCTTAACGTGGGAAGATGGATTTGGGGTGGGGAATGACGGTCTGCCAGTATCCAGGGATGATCTGCCAGGACAGAGCGGAGGAAGGGACCGATCCGATGTGGAATGAGGAGAAGAGGGAAGGAAGGAAGGAGAAAAATGATTGGAGAATAAACACAGCAGATTTAGGTACTCAAGTCCAGACCGAGTTCAGCTTGTCTTCTTCACACCTTTGTAGGCATCATCTTAGTGATAGCCACCTGCTCTATAAGTGCCAATTGGGAATTTCGGGACAGCTTGTTGAACTTGTCCCTTTGCTCTCTTGATCTTTTCCAGGCGTCCACCGTCAAGTCCTGATGGCCACTCTGGGGTTTTGTTTGGGCTACTACATCAAGAGATACTCCAACTACTACTACGCTGAGAGGGACAGGGAGCTTTTCAGTTACATCAAGCACCATCCCGAGGACTTTGTGGAGAAAGGTACTTTGGCGTGAAACACGTTCCAGAAGAACTGCTCAAAGGCTTAAAGGGAAATTAGAGGGGCGGGGAGGAAGCAGCTGTTTTCTAGGGCAGGTGGTGGGACCCCCAGCTGTTCCTCTTGAGTTGCCCACAGCATGAATGAGATAAAGGCCCCCAAATAATTCCTCAAGCGAGTTGTCACAAAGCCTTTATAAATCTACATCAATGCCCTGGGTACCAGCTGCAGCCAGGTAGCCATTGATGAGGCCACTGGAAATTATAGTTCAGCAACAGATGGATTGCTTTGAATTTTCAAGTATGGAGTTAGACCAGTAATGGCAAACCTTTTAGAGACCGAGTGCCCAAACTGCAACCCAAAACCCACTTATTTATCGCCAGGTGCCAGGTGGGTGTGGCCCACTGGGTGGGCATGGCTGTGGTCATGGCAGACTGGGTGGGTGTGGCCAAGCTTGGTATGGTCACCTCAATGTTGCTCATGGGGAGGGACGCCTGTGGGGGCTTGGCAGGGGTGGGGGAGATCCAGGGGTCTCTGGCAGGTGGGGCGGTGGGCAGGAGGCTCGTCCTGCGGGGTGAGGCGAGGCAGGGCGGGGGTGCCATTGTCACAGGGCAAAGTGAGGCAGGGGCCGGGGTGGCTGCTGCCTGACACCATCGGCCCCTGCACACAGAGGCCAGCGAGCGCAGGGGGGTGCTGGGAAGCATCCAGCCATGTGGGACCTCGGCGAGTTAGTAGGCGGCTAGTTGAAGAGGGACGGTTGCCATCTCCGGGGCATGCCGAGCGTGCCCACAGAGAGGGCTCTGAGTGCCGCCTCTGGCACCCGTGCCATAGGTTCGCCACCACTGAGTTAAACAGTTAATTTGTATCTCAGGTAACAAAATCTGGGAATTTGGAGGGAATGGGCAAGTTTACATTGTTGATTCATTCTGGACCCTTGGCAGTCCAGTCTACGTGGACACGTTCATGCATATTCTCTTAGCAACGTTTTTGGAAGTGGTTTGCCGTTCTTCCGAGGACTGAGAGAGAGGGATTGGCCCAGTTGGCTTTCATGCCTGAGGCTGGATTGGAATTCACCGTTTCCTGGCTTCAGAGTCTGAACTGCTGGTTCCAACTGGCTCTCAACAGACTAGTCCCTTTGGTGGACATGCTTGTGAACACCTTTGAACAAGGCTACATCCTGCAGGAGTAAGGACTCGCGCTTTTCCACAGT